GCGAGTGTGTGACTGTATTTTAGAGTCTTATCTTATAGAATAGATAGATCTATATTATTACTAATTATAGAGGTTGCGTTTAAAAGAAAAAAAAGATAATTACGTTTTAGATAGATCATAGATGTAGACTAGACTAGCTCTAGTTGCCTTGCCCTCTACACTCTAGTAAAGTTTAAAGTCAATATTTTCAGAAGTGTCAAAGGTTAAAATCAGAGACTGAGTGATGAGACATCTGAGGCTTTTAGCATTTAATTTAGATCTGAAACTGTAAGAGCATCATTAGATCTAGTCTTCTAGATTATCCAAAAAATAAAGAGGAAGACAAAGGCTTGAATCATAGTGACATTGAATTGAACTTCTGATAACTAGATCTAGAATAAAAAAATATAAGTCTACTAGTGTAGAGATCTAATATAGATCTAATAAACTTTATAAAGACTAATTTCTTTTTTTATCTCATGTCACTCACAGTAAAATAGAAAAGGGCTACAACATTGTTAATTAGTCAATATCAAGAAACCAAATTAGATTTCAATCTAGAGCATGACTTTGAAACACAAATCTAATTTTTTTTTCTAGACTTAAAATATTATTTACCTTAAACTTAAATTCTTATTCAATTTAATGCAATATATATATATATATATATATAAAATATATAATGGAATATTTAAAAAAAATGTCATTATGATATTACATTGACGTACTTCAATTCATAAAGCTACTGAGGCACACAATGAGACTCTCTTAATATATTTATTCATTAAGTATTGCTATATGTAACTTATATTTATTCTTCTGAAACATTGAAATGTGGATTATTCTAATTATTTTTAGTTTTAATTATTATTCTATTAATAAAGTCTTGTCTGTATTTTTGTTTAAATTCAGTATTCATACAGTATCATGTATAACATGAAGCATTACTTAGCACCAGTGGAATTTTTTTGCATACAATTTCAACATTTTTTTATGACTTTAATGATTATTTTCTAATTTTATATGATTCCTAGTAAGTTTTCATTACTAGAAAACCTATGCATAAATCCTTTTGTTTTTCTTTTTAGTTTGTATGAGTGATTCCTTTTTACTGTCAGCAAGACTAAAGAAGTAACAATTAATAGTGGAAAATTTGAAGACCTGGTTTTAAAGTGATTTGTTTGCAAATCTTGATCAGTGTTAAATATTTGCAAAAGACAATAACATTGTGGTTTCATTATTGGAAAGTTGATAACAAAGCCAATTTAAGGAAGCTGATAATCTACCCAAGTAAAAATGTCAGCCAATCAACAACCAAAAGCTATGCATACTGAAGTTGTGATTGTTGGTAAATATGCTTTCATTTTGAAATACATTATAATGTTGTCATCGCCTTTTCTGTTGTGTAGTCATTGTCTTTATTATTCACTGATGTGTCTCTTTGTTTAGTGAGTTTTGTTGAATCATTGTTTATATATTAAGTGGTGTGGTCATTGTCAGGTGTGTTAAATAACATGGTCTTAGCATATTCTTTCAGTGTTGCAGTCTTTTTTTTTGTTCTATGTTAATGTCATGTTTTAAATATCAGTGATTTTTAAAATCTTTAATAGATTTGAAAAAAAATTGTCTTGTAATTAACTTCCTTTATGTGATTATGATTTTAAAGTAAGTATTACAATATACTTCTGCAATAATAGTGATATTATTTATAAAACATATATTTTAGGTTTTTAAAGTTTCAAAACTTTGATAATATCAGCACATAGTTTGTTAAATCTATAATGATTGTTGAATGCTCTGTTGATTGTCACTGAAAAATCATTTTCTTGGAGCTCTTCTATTTTAAATGAATATTGAATAATATACAACTGAGTTTTCAACTGAATTATTTATTTTTACATGGTTTTTATACATTGCATCTAATAAGGTAATTCATTTTGTTGAAATTCTACTTTAAATCTGATAGTAATATAGCTAGTGTATTATTTGTTTCTAAACTTAAACAATAATGTTTCTTTTTTAACATTCAATTATAATCTATTTATTTGTATGCATTACAGGCAATGGGCCATCAGCTATTGCTCTTTCTGTTATGTTGGCTGGTAACAGGCCTTATTATAATGGACACACAATATCCAATGAGTACCTAACTAAAAGGTTGCAGGAGAATCCTGGTTTGGCATTAACTGAAATGGTAAGTACTCTCTTTTAGCAGAAATCGTATTGTCCAAAAACTGGTCAGATTCTTAATTTTAATTTGTATATAGTTAGAAAATTATATTCTGAGTTGAAGTCTAACACATCTACCTTTTCTTTAACAGGATTTGCCAACTCTTAGTGAAGGCTTAGAAGGACGTTCCAACAACCCAGTTGCCTTACTCTTTGATAGCCTTTTTCATCCAGATGCTGATCTAGGTGCAGATAACCCTCCAGCATTGGATTGGAAATATCAAAAGACATGTGAGATTCCACATGTGGTTCTTGGCAAAACCAAGCCAGGAGGAACATGGCAGGCAAGTCATTAAACACATTTCAGTGTATCATACTCTTGTCATTTGTTTTTTAGATTGTATTATACAGCTTATGTTGTTTTTATTTTAATTTTAAAACAATTACTCATTTAAAATAATTATTGGGCTTTGTTCTTCAGAAAATTGATGGCACCATGCAAACAATAAGCCAGAATTCTTGGATGGAACTGCCAAATGTGCCCTTTAAAGAGTGGCTGGCAAAGCATCGGTAAGCTGAAACATATTTTGCAGTCTTAGTTCTTAAGTTTGAAAATTTAAGTAATAGATTTCTAAAGAAAGTGTTTGTTTTTTCTGTTTTTATAGTGACTTTACAAGGGCTGAAAGTTTGTTGGGGAGAGCCACTATCAGTGATGTAAAAGAATACTACAGTGATTATGTAAAGTCTCAAAAGCTGGAGAAATACTTCAGAGATTTTCACACTGTTACATCTGTCCAGAGAGTTTTTCATCTGCGTAACCATGTAGACAGTGAAAGTGGAGAGGTTGAGCCTTGTTGTCAGAACGTCAGAAGAAACCACACTCATTGCTGGGAGGTTAGAGGCTATCACACTATAGTGGATGAATTCGGCCAAGCAGTATCCAGGCAAGACTTTTGTTATGTTGCTCCCCATGTGGTCTTAGCCACTGGGGCATATGACATTCCAAACAGGTTAGGTGTAGAAGGTGAGAACCTTCCTTGCGTTGTCCACTGTTTGGGTGAATTTGAGGAGAAGCTTTCTCACTGTGAGCCACACACCACAGATCCTGTGCTAGTAGTAGGTGCTGGTCTTAGTGCAGCGGACGCTATTCTCATGGCATTGGAGTCAAATATTCCAGTCATTCATGTATTCAGACGCAGTCCCTCTGACCCATCCTTAATATTTTCTAAACTTCCAAAATTCATGTATCCAGAATATCACAGAATTCATAGTTTAATGAAAGGAAAAGAGACAAATGAGCTTTATAAAGCTCTTCCAAAACACAGTGTTGTGGAAATACTTGACAATAAGGTGTTGATAAAAGCTAAAGGAACAGACTCTCTCAGTTGGTACGACATCTCCTGTGTGGCCATCATGATTGGCTCTAGGTCTGACTTGGGATTCTTGCCCAAAGAAGGCAGAAACCTTGGTGTGGTGCCCAAGTGGCCCATTGAAAGCAAGCATAACCCCATTGACATTGATGCTTACTCTTACCAATCCATCCGTGAACCCCAGATGTTTGCAGTTGGTCCCTTGGTGGGAGACAACTTTGTCAGATTTGCCATTGGGGGCTCACTTGGCATAGTTAGTCACATTATAAAGTGTAGGAAGAAGGATGAGATGTAACTGGTATTCAAAAAAGCTTGAGATTTCAAGTTGTCACCTAACACTGAACATCATCATCATATCATGATTGCCATGGTGGGCTGGTGGAGCACTGCTTTGATTGTACTGACAAAACATGTGTTCCTGACCTACTTATGACACATTTCCTCTGGATCAAGAGAAATCTTTCAGTGCCTTCTACTTGTATATGAGAATGATACTGATTCAGATTCAAGAGAATTCAATACTTAAAATATTTATTTATTTTTTTTAGTATGGTACACACTAATAATGACAATCTGCTGATTAGTTATTAGGACAAATAAACTGGTTATTATGTGAAAGATTGACTGCTGAAATGAAAGTGTAGGGTTCAATGCCTAGTCTGGAGACAGATACAGATTTAAAACTACGGAAAAAGTAACAGGGGTTAGTCAATGTGGTTTCCATTAAAACTTACTATGTAAAACAAAGGGATGAGTTCACTACTGTCAGCTTTATTTTATTCTAGCTAGCACCTTAAAGATCTATTAAATGGCAATATAATTATAAATCTCACTATATTGAATGTTTTTTTGAGCTTCAGTGTCAAGTCAGTATCTGCTCTATTGTGTGAACTGAATCAGACCTGAAGACTTGGCTTAGAATAGTTCACTTCTTGTTATAAATGTGCTCTTTGATCATTGTATTACTTTGTTGTTACAAATGTTGTTTACTTTTTTACACATTTGTAAGTGATACATATATTGTTGATGTTGTTTTTTTTATACATGTGTAACACATTTGTAACTTTTTATAATTTTTAAAATTTAAAAGATGAATTAATTGATTTTTTTTTCTTAAATATTTAACCTTGCTATTCCTGACAGTTAAAGTAGTGTCGCCCTTAATTGTGTTAATAATGTATACAGTGCAGGTGTATTCCTACTTATCTGATTACTCATTAATTCACTTAATTTTAAAAGGTTGTGGTCTAATATATTTGGCTATTTAAGATTCCCATATGAAAGTAAGTGATTAGAATTAAATTGTTTATTGTAAAAAAAAATTTTGCCAAGTTTTAGTTGCGGTATATTTGCTCAGACATGGAACTCTTCATATAATTTTTTGGTCATCATGAAAAATGCTTGCAAATTATTTTTAAAATAAATGTTGAGCTTGTTTAAATGAACTATGAACTCATCTGTTCATTTCAATGTTGTTGTTTTTTTTATTTATCACATGACTTAGTTGGACCAAAGAGTTTCATATCAAAACAATTTTTGTTTTTACAAGACAAATTGACTTAAACATTGTAATGATTATTGTTTTGTTTGTTTTTGCCAAATATATTTACTTATTATTAGTTTTTCTAAATCCCATATAAGTTATTAATATGTTATAAACAGTTTGTGAAAAGAAAGTTAGATAGCTCAAAGGAAACAATTTAAGCATATCATTTAAAGATTGGTGTAAGAATAATCCAGATACTATTCTGCTAATTTATGACTTGCAAAATAAGTAAAGTACTCCTTTCATACCTTGTGATATATAGGGCAAATGATGTAAAGCCATCTTTTTCTACAAGGTTGTCATGTGGCCAGCACAGTGATCATTTGCATAAAAAGTTTATGCCAATTCCATTTTTTTAAAATGTATTCTGCCAAAACTAGCTTTGTCCTCTATTAATCTTAACATCTGATTGTTGTAATAGAAAATCTCATAACTTTATTAAAGTATTGATAACATTATATCACATCACAATTTTATACTTTTGTAATATAAAAAAAAAATTAAGTACTATGTACCATCACCATTTTGATAGAGCCAGACTTAAAATATTGAATGAATTAGCAAAATAACTTATGCATTTGTCATTGGGAATGTGTAAATTAAGTTAAGAAATGTTTTGTTTTTAAAAAACCTTTTCACAGATACGGACATTATCAACCCAGAGGGTTTATTCTATTTTAACAATAATTGTTTTATTTTTGCCTTTACACCAGCATACTTACTTTACGTTGCTGGGCTAAATGATTGAATAGTGGTTTAAGGTTTAATTTTTTTAGGTTTCGTAGAAAGTTCAGTGAAGATTTTTAAGAAAATTTATTATTTGTTGAAGTGGTGTTCCTATTTTTTTTAATTTTTTTTTTTTGCCACTTTGTCGCTAGGGAAACATTTGATGATTGGTTGGATGTGGTTTCTATCCACCTAACCAAAATGTTCTGTTTTGGTCTGGCTAGTGAATCAACTTTATGTGTGCTGTTTTATGGCATTTATGTTCCTTTGTATTTGACCCTTTTGTCAAACCCTGGAACAATAAAAAAAAAAGTATTAAAACAAAGTATAAAGCATTATTTGTAGTTTTATTGTTGCTTTTTTACTGTGTGATTTATAATGAAGTTATATAAATTAAGGGAGCTATTTTGACTGGAGAATGCGTGGACAGGTTCAACTGTTTTATGAACATCAGATAGTTATGTTCAAGTAACAAACATTGATGTAAAAATATAGGCCTAAATGAAAGTAAAATTTATACCCGCGTACATTTTTTTTTATCATCAGCATTATCAGAGAGTTCAAAATGTTTTTTTGTTGTTTTTTTATATTCTTAACACTACTTTAAATCTTCACATGCATGAGTTGTGTCATCTGATATTTTCTCAATTTAATTAATATTTTACTTTTACCCCCCCCCCCCTTTAAAAAAAAACACAAACTTTAAGGATTTAGGACATTCGTAGGCCTAAATGTATTTTTGTTCCTGGTCCACCTACTGAGAAAACGCATAAAGTGTCGAGGTCCTCGAGCCAGCCATAACTCGGTGTGACAGGTTGATCACAGTCTTAGGTGGGAAACAAAACAGAAAGTCACTTTGTGTGTTGCTGAAGAATGTGACATCATTCGACCGTGTTGAACACTCCGCCAGCTCCCCTTTGATGGCGTTAATGCGTGTGATATCAGGCAGGAAATGTTTGTTGACTTTTAAACTACTTAATGTGATATGAAGTTAATGTGATATTCAATCTGGTTTGCTGCGCTCGGGTAAAGATCTACACCTGAAGGCAGTGTATCAACACTTACAGGAGGTAAGTGCTCAAGGCCAAGCTAGATCTACGTGTGATTTGATGTGTGCATTCGTTACAGGTTCTTGCTTTCTTGTCCTTCTTCCACGAGTCTGGTTCTTGAAACACTTATCTTATATGATACAGACTTCATAAAAGAAGATGATTAGGCTACTTGACTTTCTTAGTATGTAAACATTTCCTAACAAGGAAGTCAAGCCTTGCATTGGTTTAATTGGTTTAATTTAAAATATAGTCAACATATTTATACATAGTTAAATCTAGACCTATAGAGTCATCAACTTATAAGATGTAGCATTTGTGCTTTGGAGAATATCCCCTCCCCTTTTTAGTCAATGTATAGGTCACAACGTTAAAACTTGTTCAACTCGCTCATTTCATAACGTTGGCTTGACAGTGGCTTTTGTGTGTGTGTGTGTGTTTACGTTTAAGGATAGAACGTGTGACCTAGTTATATCTAATAAAAATGTCATCATTAACTAATTTCTGTTGACGTAACCGGTTTAGTCTGGTCAGTTCAAGATTGTTGGTCATAAGCAACATGCAGTCTAAACATAGGCCTTATTTACTACCATCAGGTATGGCAAAGAAATTAACAGACTTAACTGGAAGAAGTAATTAGTGGGGGAAAAAAGTTGGATGTCAATGTAACATCTACACCAATGTGACTAGTTTGTCATCAGAGACTTAGATTGCTCTGTTTGTCGCTGCTATAACTTGTTCTGTTTGTCGTTGTAGATAGGGTCTACTGTTTATTGCGAGTTCAATTATAACAGAATGCACAAAAAAAAAATAAGTTGATATACTGCAGAAACAGCTTGTTGAATATCAACCATGATTTATTTACGGATGAAGGGTAAACCTAATCGTATTACTCATTGGCGTAGCCAGGGTGTTTTTTCCGGCGGGGAGGGGGGAGCATATATATGTGTGTGTGTTTGTGTGTGTGTGTACATAATTAATCTTTATTACATTCTAACCCTTCATTCTTTTGAAAGATGTTTAATGTACCCTAGAATATGTTCTTCCTGGAGTTACTGGAAAAATTGTAGACTCCCCGTCATTGCAAGCATGGGTGTCTGGGGGAGCGCTGAGAGCCAAGCACTATTTCGGAAATGAAAGCCAACATAATGCATATTCTGAGGTATCCACAGTGCATTATCCTTCTATTAAAAAGTTTTATTTCAAAAAACCTTATGTGCTATTCCTACTGACTTAGATCCTCCCTCGTCGTTTGGCGCATTGGGCGGCAAGCTGCTTTCACAAAAATCTGTCACTGGCAATTCCTGAAGCCTCTTCCCACCTGCTCTGAGGACCTCCATGAAAGTGTGGCGCCAAGCTGTACTAGGATGTCCCTGTTTGCGCTTTCCTCGTAATGGCCTACATGTCATCGCAACTCTTATTATGCGTAATTCATTTGTCGGAGAACATGTCCCGCAAACCTTATGCGAAGCTCTGTCACAACCTTACTAAGGAGTCGACTCCCAGTTCGGCATAAGATTTCCTTGATTGAGTCCCGATCTCTATAACTGACTCCTAAAATCCGTCTAAGCCATCTTTTGTTGAGCCACATTTAGTCTTTTTTTCAATTTTGGCAGATGCCTTTTCACTGAACTTTATTAATGGAGTCCAGCCACTGGTAAAAATGTGTAACCTCTCTTGGCTACGCTCTTAGAATTACGTATAAGGAAGTTTTATCGTCAAAATATTTTTTTTTTGAAAAAAAGAAAGGGGGGGGGGGGGTTTTAAACTAAAAAATCTGTGGAATTTGTTGTTTTTTTCAAAATTCAAAACCCCATAGAATTTGGTGACTGTAGTTTGCTTTAGAATAAAATTGAAAAGAGAGGTTTTCTATCTCAAAACTCTCTGTATGGGAGTATTTAAATTCAAAACCATCAGGAGGACTTTTAAACTTTAAGAAAAGCCCTCTAGAGAAGGAGGGTTTAAACTCACCCCCCCCCCCCCCCCCCCCCCCATAGGCCTTGCTACGTTCATAGAATTTTGAGTGTGTAATTTGCTTTTTTTATATATTGAAGAGTCAATGAAGAGGTATTTTTTAGTTTCAAACCCCGTTGAAGGGGGGTTTAAACTGAAAACCCATTTGGCCACGCTCATAGATTTTTGAGTTTGTAATTTGCTTTTTTTTTATATTGAAGAGGTATTTTTTTTAGCTTCAACCCCCGCTGAAGGGGGGTTTAAACTGAAAACCCCTGTTGGCTAGGAAGTTTAATTTTGAAAGTGTAATTTCCTTTTTTTATATTGAAGAGGTGGTTTTTAGCTCTAAACCCCGTTGGAGGGGGGTTTAAACACAAAACTCTCTATGCTACGCTCATAGAATCTGGTGACTGATGTATGAATAGTCTTATATTGAAAGGGGGTTTATCGTAAATTTCGGAGGGGGTTTTAAAATCAAAATCTTCCTTAGCTATGCTCTTGGATTTTTTTTTGTTTCTTATATAGAAGAGGGAATTTGACTGCAATACCCCTGGTAGGGGGTTTTAAACTCATAACCTTTTGTCTGTGCTGGTGCAAGTGATAGTTTTGTATTAAAATGTCACCTAAAATAAACAGAATCAAAGCATAAAATCAGTCACTAAATTCCGGGGCATAAAAAATAGATGTGAAGATTGAATGCCGCTAACCTTTATACCACAAAGACACTTCGCTAATCTGAAGTATTTTATACTTATTTAAATCATACTTTCCGTAACGGTGTTTCTCTGAGAAAAGAAGAAAGCAAGATGTTTATCAGGCCTAGGCCTGGCCTATATAGGTGTGTAAAACTTCTTTCCAATGATATTCTCCCTTTATCGTATAAGATCCTGCACGTATCCGGTTATCCATGTCATACTGTACCCACTATAACCTTCCTGTGGCGTAGCTAGGGTGGGAGGAGGTTCTAATTTATAAATACCGCCCAAATGAGTATCCGAAATGTGTTTTTATATTAAATATTACGCCATTATCTCATGTTATGATGTCGAATGTTAAAATGCAGTATGCAGGGGCCCATAAAGAGACCAAGCCCCCGGGCCCTCAAATCCCTAGCAACGCCACCAGATTAGGCCTATCATTTATATTTTAAAAAAATATATCAAATTACATAGATATATAATAATTTTTTTCATGAATATTAAAGTTCAAATCAAAATATATAGTTGCTAGCCTATGTCTGGGTTAGGGTCTATAGGCTAACAATAGTTGCTGTAGGTCTTATCTTGTCTTATAGATAACAGACGTTACTTTAAAAAAATAAGATAATTACGTCCTATGCATTTCATGTCTACTTGTTTAATGTATTGGCTTTTAAATACTTGATCTAGATCTGGAACATTGCAAGCTAAACTTTGGCTTTGGTGGAATGTTTGTCCTAAGACCAAATCACTTGAATGGTTGGCGGGAAAAACATTGGCAGAAATCCAATGTATACAGAAGAGTTAGTATATAATTAGTTCTAGCTCTTGCGATACCATAAATGACCCTGGCCACGACACAACCAAAGGATTCGCTCCAAGCATGCCATGATAACCGACTAGGATGAACTTGTCTGAGGTTAAAAAAAGAAACGGTCTTACTATATCTAGAACAGTTCTAGCGTAAGCCTACATGCCAAAAGTCACGACGCCAGACTGAAGTTTAAAAACATTTTGTTGTATTAGTTCCCCTTTGTGAAAAACGTAAGGTTCAGCCATTCTCAAAACATCCACGCGGGTCATGACCCAAATTTAACAGCTTCAAATCATTTTTTAAGCTATTGTATTAAAATACTGTACAAAACGTAATGCAAATTATAGGGCCATTATAGGCTACTAGAATTCACAGGTTTTAAAAGGGGAGTATTGACAAGCGGGCCGTGTTATAGACATATAAAAAAAGGGGGGGGGGGTGCCGGAGAGGGTGTTTATGATATTCTGATAAAGAAAGAAAAAAGCAGAAGAATAGTCAGAGATCGTAACTAATATTTATCAAGACGGAGCCTGGGGGGGGGGGGGGGGGGGGTAGAGAACTGATATTCAAATTTACGGGCCGGTCAAATTCAACGTAATAGATAGGCTACCAGAAATTGCGTGCCAAAGGAATGGGATGAGGGGTGTAGAAAAACAAATAAAATATTTTTAAAAATTAATTTAGACAAAACAATGCTTTTGTGAACCAATTGGGATTTGGTGATGGTGGTGGGGGGAGTTTTCCGTGATCTCTTTTCAAAAGCTTTTTTTTTTTTTTTTAAAGTCTCCAATTCGAACTCGAGCCTCCATGAAGGAAGGCCAATG